GCGCGGGACCCGCGGCTCGGGACCCGATCGGACGGATCCAGGAGGACGTCGGCTGCGCCTTCCCGGGCCTAAACGACGAGCAGCTGAGACAGACCCAGCAGCGAGATCCGGATCTGGCGGCAGTGGAGGCGGCACTGCGGGAGGAAAAGAGCGCCCTACCAGGACCCTGGAGCGGTTTGTATGCCCGGTTGTGTGTGCGGAACGGAGTGGTACGGGAGTTAACCGAGGCCGGCCAGCCGGGGTGCATCTGTGTTCCTGCCCAGGTGCGACCCCAGCTGCTACGGCTGGTGCATGACCACCCACTCGGGGGCCACGATGGGGAACGACGCACTCGAGAGACCCTGCGTCGCCAGTATCTCTGGCCCAAATTGGCACAAGATGTGGCCGCCTGGGTGCAGGGCTGCCGGGCCTGTCAGCAGTGTGGGCAAAAGCCGGCGAGGTACCAGGTACCCCTGAGGCCGTTCCGAGTCAGTCGGACGAATCAGTTGGTCGGAATCGACCTGCAGGGGCCCTTTCCACGATCCCACCGGGGCAACCGATATATTCTCGTAGCGGTGGAATACTTCACCCGCTACCCCGTGGCGGTGGCTATCCCGGATAAAACAGCCCTTGTAGTGGCCCGGGCCTTCGTGGAAAACTACGTACTTAAGTGCGGGATCCCCGAACGAGTCATTACCGACCAGGGTAGTGAATTCGAGGCCGAACTATTTCAGGCGCTGTGCCGAGAGTTCGGGATCCAGAAGGACCGAACCACGGCGTATCACCCCCAGGCGAACGGGATGGTAGAGAGGATGAACCAGACTCTGGCCGGGAAGCTTAAACGCATGGCGGCCGCGAATCAACAGGACTGGGACGAACACCTTCCCTATGCCCTGTTCGCCTACACCACCGCCGTTCACACCTCTACAGGACAGACCCCGTTCCTAATGATGTTTGGTCGCGAGTCTCGCCTGCCCGCAGATCTGCTGTTCGGTGTTCCTCCGCCGCAACGGGAGGAAGGGAGCCACCCCGTGGAGCACTTGCTGGAGACCCTGCGAGGGGCCAGGGGCCGAGCCGGCCCGCACGGAGAGGCCGCGCACCAGCGGCAAGAGCAGGGCGCCCGACCCCGTATGGAGCCCCCCTTCTACACTGCGGGCTCCGAGGTGTGGCTGTACACTCCCCGCGTCGGTGCCGGACAGGTGGGGAAGCTGACCACCTACTGGCGAGGACCCTGGATTGTGAGACGGCAGATCTCACCATGGACGGTGCTGATTCAGGGAGGAGAGAGGGGCCGGGAGATGGTGGTCAACATCCGCCGACTGAAGCCGTGGCGAGCAGCCCCCGAGGGGGGGAGCCCCGCCGTCCAAGTACCCCGAAACCCCGGGGTCCCCCCACCCCCCGTGCCCGGGGGCCTCGCGCAGTACATGGGCCCCACGGAGCCCCGGGCTCCGAGGGGCCCCGGGCGGGGCCGGGGGCGACGAGGACGGCGACCCTTAAACCCCACCGCCTCTGAGTTTGTTCCCCAGCCCGCAGGTGCCAGAGGCCGAGGGGAGCCGTTGGAATGGAGGAGGAGACCACCGCCGGAGCCCCAGGAGACGGAGCCGCCACCCCCGAGGCCAGCCACAAGGGCCGGGCGAATCCCGCGGACCCCGCGGCGATACCTCGTGGGGGCAACCCAGGCGAGGTGCTCCAGTCAACCCGGGACGGGGACTGGCACCCCGGGGGGCTATGTGGTGCCACAACGACGGGGCCGCTCTGCCGAACCAGGGAGCCGCCCGGCTTCCCCCACCGCACTGCCCCCCATCACCCGCCCCACATAAGCACACACCCGCACGCATCCCCCCCCCCCCATAGAGCTGGAAGGGAAGGGCACCTGATCGACCGGTTTTTATCCGAGAGACCCTTATCGGGATTAATTCTCACGGTTTCCGGCGATCAGGGAATTGGATGACCTCCCCGTGCTACGTGGCACCGCGGCGCTGCGGCCGGCCTTAATATGGTAGGTCGTGGCGTGGGGCATTCGGCCACCGCGGTTGAGGCGCATTTCCCCCCACACACACTCCCACGGGTCGACGGGGCGAGCAGGGGAGGCACGGGACAGCATGAATAGCGGGGTCACAGGGGCTGTTGCGCATAGTCATGGAGGGTTGGGATAATTGCGCTTGAGCGCGCAAGCCCCATTGGTAGGAAGGGTAAGGGAGTAATTAGGATTTACGCCTTGCACGCAGCACACTGATTAGCATATCAACAGCGCCTGGGGACTGCGGTGCGCGGGCTTGGGGTGCACGAGCCCATTGTTCAGCGCAGCATCCCCTTTGGGAGGTAGGGAGGATAAATAGAGGAGCGCAGAGGGGAAATCGCTCTCTTACTCCAGCGCCAGGCGACCAGACGCAGCTCGAGCCAGCGACCCGGACGTCCGTGCGACGCACCGAGGCACGCGGTTAACAGAAGGATCAGCGGACCGCCGTGGACACTTAACAGTGAGTAAGAAGGGGAATTAGAATCATAGCCGATAAATAGGGAATAGGTACAGGTTTAGTGGAATAGGCCAGCCTCGTCGACTCACTGATTCAACATCAATTCGCAGGTGGCATATAATAAATCATTAATAGCGAAGCGTGGTCTCGCGTGATCTTGTCGTGCAGTGTGAGCGTGTGGGTGCGCTGTGTGCACAGTGGTTCGCCACGGGAGTGAGCGCTGCGCGGAGCTGAGCGCGCGGGTTGCGTGTGGGAACGCGTGTGGTACTGTGTGTGCGTAAGCTCGCGGCGTGCGTAATCGGCGTACCCCAGGTGCGCGATTGTAACGTGAGCGGCCAGCGCGGCGCAGAGAAGCGCAAGAGTGAGTGCCGTACAGAGCTGTGTGTGTGGGTGTGCGCGTACGTAATTAACCATGCCTGCTACGCGGACCCGCGGTGGAGTGGAATCCTCGGGCGACGGCTCCCACCCCATGGGTGAGGAACTTAGCAGCGGTTCGCTTAGCAGCGGGGGGGGGATTGATGATGCTAGCCCGGCCGTTAGCATTATCGAGGGAGGGATCTCGGGGGCTAGCGACCCCCACACATATTTGGCAGGACACTTACCGCAAAAAAAAGATGACGATCCCGGGAAAACCAGGACAGGTGGCAACCCTAGTCGCATGCGGCCACCCTTCTTCCAGGTCACCTTCATTTCTCCCCACCCAATGTCACCCCCCCCCCCCCCGCCCTAGGATATTCTTCTTCCCATGCTATCTCCCGGTCCTTCTGTACCTCGGGTGGCATCCTTAACTGCCCCCCTTACCAACCTCGCATGGCGCTGCCTGTCTCTCGTGCTCGACTCCCCCCCCCCCCCCGTAGGAAATGGGTCACAGGCCCATTCCAGCCCATTAATCCGGAGGAATTTTGGTGGGCAAATTAACAACAGCTGGCGATATATATGTAAAACTCCCGCAGCTAAATTTTTGCGGGTCTTTTCAGTTATAAATAACACGAAAAGAAAAAAAAATCTACAAATGCAAACCTTTTTTTGGGGGGGGGGAGGGGGGGGGGAATGCGTAGCTAACAATTGCGGTATTTGAACAACATGCGAAATGCATGATTAGTTAATTTGCTATCAAAACAACGCATGGCCTTTCAGAGAATGTCTTTAAAACCAATGATATAATGTTTGCGCAAAACATGTATTTTAAGTTAAAAGTGATTGAAACCACAGATTGGGTGGATTAATGCATACAAATTGTGCTTTTCAGTCATGTGAATAGTCGGTATATGGAAGATAACATTGTGACTATTGCACCTGGAATGTTTAGTCATGTTCTAAATAGAGGGCTCCACGGCAAAATGACCAACAACAGTGACAACCAGATTTAGGAAATTGCGGTAAATTTGGAAGGAATTTTGATTTTGGTATAGCTAGGATTATGGTTAGATTTAAAGTGAATTCATTACTTTAAACATGGAAATTATGTGACCACTAAAAACGTTACGAAGGTCGCAAAGCTGTTTTCAAGACAATTTACAAACAAAACAAACCTCATGTACAACTGGTTTGCTAATTAAAGTAATTGACTGCTGGAGGGACACAACTGAAAAGATATCAGAATACAGATACATATATACACACACACACACGCGCGTGTGTGCGTCTAACCCGGCGTTTCTCAATCTTGTTTTGGCCTGCGGACCACTCAGGCCTGGAGACAAAACGCATTCACTTCCCGCTCTCTATACCAGTCATACTAAATGATTAATATTACAGGAACATAAAAAGGTCTTGGTTTTTTTTTTATATAGAGGTTGGGGGAGGCATTTCGATCTCAGGATGAGGGTAGTTTAATCAGGGCGGTTTACGCAACTTAATTTTTTAAATATAAAATATCACGAGTAAAATATAAATTAGTGCCCGAAACAAAAGGTAGAATAAACATTGTCAATAACTTCCGGATCAACCTGCATTTGCATCACAGCCCCGCGGGCCACCTAGAGGACTGTCGCGAACCGCACATTGAGAGCCACTGCCCTAGAGCACTGGCTTGGCAGCCCTAGAGCACTGGACTGGCAGCTCTAGAGCACTGGACTGGCAGCTCTAGAGCACTGGACTGGCAGCTCTAGAGCACTGGACTGGCAGCTCTAGAGCACTGGCTTGGCAGCCCTAGAGCACTGGACTGGCAGCTCTAGAGCACTGGACTGGCAGCTCTAGAGCACTGGACTGGCAGCTCTAGAGCACTGGACTGGCAGCTCTAGAGCACTGGCTCTCAGGGTGCCGTCTCCGAATTCAAACGTATGAAATAAAAGAGGCGATCAAGAACGGGGGAGGGGGTGGGTGTGGGGGAACTGATTTGACGAAGAAAAGCAACTTACCGTTTTTTTTTCTTCTTGGTTCTTTCGGTAAAGTCACGTAGAAGGGAAGTAATAAAATAATAAAAATAAAACATAATACAACAAATTATTTTATTATATTCTTTTATTATGTTTTATTTTTATTATTTTATTACTTCCCTTCTACGTGACTTTACCGAAAGAACCAAGAAGATGAATCCCTGCAGTCACGAAAGCTTTAAATCGAAATTCAACGTACCGTTGTGCGTAAAAAAAATAGTTTTTAATCGGGGAATGTCGCCAGATACGACAAATGGATCAGAACACAAACAAAGAAAGGAACAAAAGCTGAAAAGTGCGCAAACAAGCACGTGGCGACACGTGGTGAGAATTGCACCATGTGTCGCAAAGAGGAGCACTTGGATCAGGTTTACAAAAAAATGCAACAACGATAGACGCCACATTGACTGCTCATCGAGTGCGGTGGGCCAGGGGAGGACATGTCGCCGACAGGAATGACTGCCGGTGCTACAGAAGCACGACGGAGACTGCCAAAGGAGAGGACACCCACTGTGGTGCAGCAGCAGCAGCAGCAGCAGCAGCAGCAGCAGCAGCAGCAGCAGCAGCAGCAGCAGCAGCAGCAGCAGCAGCAGCAGCAGCAGCAGCAGCAGCAGCAGCAGCAGCAGCAGCAGCAGCAGCAGCAGCAGCAGCAGCAGCAGCAGCAGCAGCAGCAGCAGCAGCAGCAGCAGCAGCAGCAGCAGCAGCAGCAGCAAAGATCGGCTCATGCGCATGAGTCGGATGGATCGTGGCAGCGCAGGTTCATGAAGCACGTTTGAAGGCGTAGGGGAGGGCTTCATCCAGCAGTGGGTACACAATGGCTGCAGAAAAACGAAATACTAATACGCATTCAAACTGGTTAAAGTTTTTTTTTACCAGGGCAGTTTACCAAATACAGTACTAGTATACATTAAAACTGCACTTAAACTGCAAGCGAGTTAAAAAAAAAAGCATACGGCCTGCATGTATTCAAACACCGAATGTTACAGATACACAAGAGGTCGTGTCTAATGTATGCTGTAATTTAAAATAAGTGGGGATTTAAAGGGACAAAAAACGGTTAAAAAAAAGGTACAGGCTCCAATATTTTAATATCCCAAGGCACTAATTCACGACGCTACAACAGTTGCAATTTTTTACCACGAACAATTCAGGTGTCACGAAGCCACGCACTGGCCTGGCAGCATTTGTGTTGCACGGGACACACGCACACCGGCATGGGACAACTGGTAAGGGTGAACTTATTATTATTATATCTGACCAGCTCATCGTCAGAGGAGCGTGTCAATGCAGGAATGCCGTGCACGCCACCGCACCACGGGCGCTAGGCAGAATGCAAGACCTAATGTAAACAAGGAGGGCCAGTGTTGGCAGAATGGAGCGCAGGAGGCAGCAACAAGGCTGGGACACGTGGCATGAATGAAGCCAGGTTTGGCAGAGGCCCCCAAGTTCTCATATTTCACCGCTCGCACTGTGACGAGTGCCACCTGTTACCTATTTCACGTGATCTTTTTCTCCCCCCCCTACCCACCTCTAAATTTGAAATGCTTATCAACAGTGTGCTACAGTTATTGCACGTATGTTTAGCTCAGCGTGCGCAGCTAATAAGCATTTCAAATTGACAAGTGACAAATAGAGTAAGCGGGGGGGGGGGTGTTATAAATGCCCCCAAACAGGTGGCGACCCCGTGTAACCTTCGCCTCCCCGGCCCCCCCCCACCGCCACTCGTAGGGCGTGAATTCACAAAGCGCCGTTATTCCCCAATGCCACGCAAGAGGGCTTCACAAAGTGTCCTGAAGCTGCAAGGGCCACGGAGGAACTAAGTTCTGCGATGTGTTTTCGGGCCGTGGTGTCCAACGTACCGCTCCCAGCACGTGCAGCCAAAGGCGCCGTAACGCCGCACGATACAACCCGGAAAGAAATGTCACGAAAGAGCTGCACAGCACAAATCGCGAAAACCCTGCGCAGCGAGGGGCAGTGTTTAGATTTGAGGGGCCCCCAGACAAAGCTAATGATGGGGCACCCAGCCACGACTGACAGCCTACAATTACATGTGATAGACACTACACTTGGATGTATCATGGTTTTTAGATTATATGGTCAGTCTCTGTGTTAGTAGGCAACGGCCATATGATTTTAAAACATATATTTGTTATTTTTTCCCTCCGAGCGTTATCCCGCTTGTGCTTTTGGTGTCACGTCATGAGATGAAGTGACCCGATTGGAACTCTCGTGGGCAGTGCAATGCTTTGTGTGAAAATGATGGCCCACGGGTTTCATATGCATATCTCTGAGTTCCCTTCAAGGGACTTCTTGACCACACAGTCGGGGGGGGGGGCAGGACTTTCCCACTCACCCTGCCGCTATGTATAATGCTGCAGCATGGAGTCCAACCGATATTTCGCACGTTCAATTAGAACTACGTACGGTGCAAAAGAGGTTCAACCTAAAAAATGTAACCTCAAAGCTGGAATTTAACTAAATAAAGTACGTAACCAAATTTGATACAATGGGGTTTACTTTGTACCGGCATTGGTGACCAGTCCGAGACCATCGACTCGCTGAACTTGCATTACGGATGGGATGCCTGTATTGAACCCAGGCTCGTGGGGGTGCTAGCTCAGCACTCCGTCCTCTGAGCCACTCGGCCACCTCCACTGCCTGACCTGGCTGATGCTTGTATTTTTGGAGTTTGCGTGTCTCTCTCCCTGTGGTCGCGTGGATTTTCCTCTCGGTCCTCTGGTTTTCTCTCTCCACATTTAGAAACATGCGTTTCTAGTATTTGGCTACTGCTATATATTTTCACGTGATAAGCCACCTCATTGGGCTATCATTGGTGGCCAGGCCGCTTCTGAAAAAAAGAGCTATATAGCTCAGTGGCATTACCTGGTAAAATAAAAAAAGGTTAAGTTTAGTTTGACATATGCTCGAGCAAATGCAGCGATGCCTCCCTGGGATAAGATCTCCCAGTGCGCGATCAGTTACACTCGGTTGGGGCCGTGCAGGGAATCGGAAGCAGGTGTGTGGGCCGTCTTAACCGAGGCGTGGGATGAAGCTGCTTCGCCGAGCGTCGCCTGCCGTGGCGCACACGACAATTTATCTGGAGCAGTGGAACGCCGGAGCCGGCGTGACGTCCAACACCGCGGACGGAGAGTGGAACGCTGTGGCCATTGAGTCCGGCGTCGTAGCTGGCGCGCAGGACGACGCGGCTTGCGCGCGGTGAACTGCGCTGGGCGAACGGGGTGCCTCGGTCGGTGTGCGTGGTGGGAAGAGGGCAGCAGCAGCAGCAGCAGGGCTGCTTGGCTCTCTCCACGCTCTCATCGAGTGGATCTCCTTGCCCAGGTGCAGCAGGGATTTTGCCAGCTGGCAGTCCTGTTGCCGCATTTCTAACTGCATGGTGTACAACACACACACGCGCATGCACAATAGACAATCATTCACCCATTTGGTCATGCGAGAGCAGTCAGCGAACGCCTGTTAAGGACTCCCGCAGCGCATAAAGGTGGGGGCTCGCACTATGCCCAGCTGCCTTTGTCTCCCTAAATGTTGATGTTTAGTATACCACAACGTATGCTTATGCAAGGCTCAGCTGACCTAGAGGAGACCCAGGACAAGATGAGAGACCACTTCCCACTGACGTTATCAGGTCGCCAGGGTTTCAGCAGTGCGCTAAGTTTCAGACAGCAGACAAAACCGCGTAAAAAGCATTCAGCCTTTGTGCAAAAGCCATGACCATTTGCCTCAAGAGGTGCATTGTGGTCCTCTTCGTCTTAAGCCACCAGACTCGAGTGACCTGGCAACCGACGACACGAGACACGCGTGTGACACGCTGCGGAGAACATTACACTTCATGCCTCCATTGTGTCTGCAACTCGGTTGGAATTTACAATATAACATACACGCCGTACGAATTCGTATGATATATATAAATGATGTAGCACAAATCCGTTTGTATATATTGTTAATATTATGGAATGCATGGCTTTTTGTCAATCGATTGGTGAATTAAGGCTCTCCCCCCCATCACACCGTGTCAGCCATGGGGTTGTTTGACCATACTTCGCCGTGCTGGTGAAGATTGTTTAAATTATTGAGCTGTTTTGGCTGCTACAAATTTACATATGATAAGTCGCTTCGTTTGTGGCCAGGTCACTTCTGTAAAAGAAGCTAATCGGGGTTTTACCTGGTACAATAAATAATAGATTAGTTTTACTTTCATAAAAAGTTATTTGCTTACCTCTTTCTACTGTGCACTCCTATCGTGTTTTTGTATTCTTTGTTGTTGTAACTTTCTGACCCGCCCCTACTGCACATATGTGAAAAAGAGCTTTATATCTCATCCGATTCCTCCAGTATAAATACATATTCTGATGATTCTGATATGTGGGGGCAGAGGGGGGGGGAGGCAGAACCAGCTCAGCTTTCACGATCCATGTTCGCCACGGCTGAAAATGTAACTCGGGGGTTTTATAGCGCAATGCGCCAACCACTATGCCTTGCACCAAATAATTGTATTTCATGTATGTACGTATGTTGAACTTATTTTGCACCACATGCAGCGAACCGTGCTCATCAGAGGTGCGGGGGAAGGACAACAAACCAAACACAAAAAGCAGTTAGAAGTAAATTAGTTTTCAATCGAGATGATTTAAAAGTGCATAGCTCCAGTGGCCTTCTCGTATCGGAAAGAAGAGCGTTCCAGACGGCCGCAGAGGCGCATCTGAAAGCGCGCGATGTGGTGACCGTCTTTGTTCGATGGTTAGCCAAAAGCCGCTGCGAGGATGACCGGAGTTCGCGTGGTGGTCTATGCTCCTTTCAAAGTGTTGACAGCCCTATAATACAGGGTGCTTCAAAAAAATGTTAACATTTACATGGGACTATCGTTTTTGATGGAAAAGAAATGATAGTACACTGTAACATGATAAGAAAAGTTTGCTAATAGCTTCGAAAAGTCAAAGAGTCTCCACTTGTTCGCCATCATTGTCAACACGTGCTTGGAATCATCTCCAACAGAGATGTTTGGCAGGAAGCAAAGTGAAGATGGTTGTCACGGCGACACTGGACCGATACTCTTCGATACAAAGCGACGATTCATCGGTGAGCATCAATACAAAATATAACAATGCACACATTGAATTGTGTGAGAACCATTTGCGTGCTGTTGATGGAAATTGTACGCAAATTACATGCCCATGTGTCATATAGATTAAACGATGGTGCAAAATATGGCACTGACATTTTTTTTAAGTATACAAATAAAATGGGAAAAACGAGACAAAAAATTATGATACATATTTGATTCAAACTATGATATGCAAAAGTTTGCAAATTCACCACATAACTGGGGGGGGGGGGGAGGGGGTAAATCGTTACATACCACTGCATGACTGCTTTGGTAAAAGAATGTTGTTTAAGAGGTCAGGGCTTTAAATAACGCTTGGAAATGAGGCAGATTAATTTGCGAACTAGCCAATAAAGAAACCATAATGCAACATTAATTTAAATATCCGAATAATGCTAATTGGACATTATTAGCACGTCCATTCATGACTTGTTTAGCCAGGCACAGTTCAAGCGAATAACATCAGCACCTCTTGTCACTAGATACCGAACGTGACGCACTTTGAACGCGGACGAACTTCCACACGACTCGAGATTAACGTCAATATGGAATCAACGTGGAAGCCTCACCAGTTCAGTCCTGATCCAGCTCAAGGCCCCCTCGATCTTGGCCCTCCTCAGCTCCTCGCTGGCCTCCCGGTGCGCCCCGTGTGGCCGCCCCTTGCCCTCTCGCGCCCCGGAGCTGCCACCCGGGTGCCCTTGCCCAGCCGCCGGGTTCTGGAACGCGTCCCTCAGCCGGTGGCGGATGCTCTGCAGGACGAGCTCGGAGACGGAGTCCTCCTCCAGGTCGCCGTGGCCGGCGTTCATCGCCGCTGTGCCGGCGTTCTAGGGACTCCGTCGGGCTCCGCCGCGGACGACGATGACCCAGCAGCAGCAGCGGCAGCAACAAAGCTCCCTTTAGTATGCTAAACCTCAGAATGCCACGAGGTCCCACGCGTGAATTGAGGAGACAGCTCGGGGGGGGGGGAAGGGGAGGCGAAAAAAAAACAAAAAAACTTTCCTCGCTGATAATCAGGATGCAAAAAGGGCTCCACACAGAGAGGGACGACCGTCGTCTCGGTCGACCGTTAATCGAGGCCCGCACAAGAGAAGTTGGTGTGGGAAGGGAACGTGTTTGACAAGCTTGACCGCACACCAATATGTAGCGGCGCGGTCCCATGCTGGTTGTGTTGCCTTGCGTGGGGCGGCCACGGACGCATTTGCATACCGGCCACATTTTTACGGTGCCGTTTACGCGTTGTTTCGCGCAGAGCCGCTGGAAACCAACATTTACTTCGCCTCCTCGACGACGCGGCGTGTGTAGCCAAACCTGTTAATGTGCCACTTAACGCTGACGTGTGGATGGAACGGCAAAATAAATGGGGCGCCTTTGAAAGGGCCGCATAGATAGACGGCGCTGTGCAGTCGGGCTCTCAGCATTTATTGCCAACGTGTTGAAAATCCCAGCTCAACATGTATTTCATTTATAAACGGAATGGATTAATTAGAGATGTCCGGCTCTGCCAAAGGCCAGAGAGCTGGTCCCAAAGCGTTTCAGCAGTGAGGGTGGATATCGTCTGGAACGCTGCATTGTTGTCGTTGCTGAATATTGAACGTGGCTACGAATTTGACACCAGTTGTCAGCTTTCAGCTGTCTGTGACTGAATTGCACCATGGCTCATTGCAGTCAATAATTCCGTGGATTAAAAACAACATAGTTTAATCTAAAAAGTTAAAGTAATTATTATAAATTAGAGTAATTGTAAGTAATGTAATAATTGCAGTAAAACATTTTTTGGCAAAATGTTCTTATTTTAGTATAATTATTTCTAGGTTGCTGTATGAAATGTAGGAAATTACATTGGTAGCACGGTGAACCCGGTGACCTGAGTTTGCTTCATGGCCACGGCTAACATCAGTGGCGAGTGATATCTAACCCCTGCTGGGCACCTGCTACTTCACCAACTTACAAACCCACGAGGGTGGTGAAGTGTAGGGAAACTAACCCCATGACAGACACGGCATGCGGCAGTGGATTTGGCAAAAGGCTGTACATTATTGCTTTATTACCTTTTTTTTTAATCCCGGGAAGATAGTGAAGTGAATATACTGTGACCAATTTGAACTACTGGATGCAACTGGGAGTGTATTGTTTAGAGTAATATCATGGACAGAGCTCGACGGAAGAAGACCACGATCGCCAACGTGTTTGAGAATGGACATGGCGCACACAAAGAGAGAGACGTCATTATGATTGTTATGGCACAGGCAAACCTCCCTCGAGGTCTCCGTCCTCAACTGAATGTTTTCTCAGCAGTAAAGTGCCTTTTCGAAACACGGTGCGTGCACAACTTTTACGGCAACGAATCTTCTGCACTGGGCAGCATTGTCGTCTGCTTTTTTGTTGTTGTTGCCAGTTTTCACGCCGTAAATAATCGTGAAGAAAGCCCGAAGACCCCCATTGCTGTCCCTGGGAGGGGGGGTCGGGGTTGGCGCGGTGGGGGTGCCGGGAAGAGGGGGGGGGGGGCGGCCAGGCCTGGCGGTGGTTGCTGTGGGAGAGAACCGGGCGCTGGGCAGGGCACGGAGATCGTCTAAATCAGTAATTTGCATAATCAGAGCGCCACTGTGATGCCACACTTGTGAGAGGTTCAAACACAAAAATGAGCATATTTCGGATTGGCACTCGCCCGGGAGATGTTAGCTTAAGTTTAGATTGTTGTCCGTCGCAATGTACGCGTTGAACCGATCGTAACTATTGCTAACACAGTCGTGCTTGTAACAAGGCGTCGTGCCGTTCAGTCATTAAAACCGATACTCGTGCTCATTATACACGTGTCGAATTGTGCGCAGCAAGAACAATTGGCGTGCGACGTAGGCGAATCACATGCTGTTGTGACATTTATTCCAATGGGTAACCATAGCTATAAAGAAAAAGAAAAATAATAAACGACAGTAAAAACGTCGCAGAAATACGATAAACACTCGAATCAAATCGCAAACCCCCGAAAATCGCGGCAGTTCACGTGCCTCGTCGAAGCCAATGAGTTTGTGTGGGTCAGTGACCATGTGTGTTGGTGTGTGGGTGTGTTGGTGTGTTGGTGTGTTGGTGTGTTGGTGTGTTGGGGTGTTGGTGTGTTGGTGTGCACTCACAATAAACCAACTGATAAGCCCTTGCGTCGGTGCGGCCTGCAGCGTGAAGTGTGCTGTGGCTTGGCAGAATGTGCTACAATCTGATGTGCTTCAGTCCACAGTGCATTCACCCACTGGACCATACACTTGTATATATGTACATACACACGTATAATGAGATCCTTAAGCCCCCCACCCCCCTCTACAACACCTCTGTCCACACATTCGTATAAATGGGTACAACCAACGGTGAGTCAATGGCGAAAGGTGACATGTTGTTGGGTAGAGTGTGGGTACTCCCAACTTCTTCAAAGATTTCGATGTAAAGCTTCTCTCGTGACTGCAGGGATTCATCTGCTTGGTTCTTTCGGTAAAGTCAGGTGAGGACGGCTGCTTGCGTTGTGGCCGAAACGTCGTGAGAATTATTTTATTATGTTTTATTTTTATTACTTCCCTTCTACGTGACTTTACCGAAAGAACCAAGAAGATTCTTCAAAGATGTCTAGCCGGTGTGGAAGAGGAGCCCAAACTACTGCACCCTCGAGAGAAATATCTCTCCCCAGGGAGTAACAAAGCATGGGAGCGGCAAAACACATTTGCAGCGCTGCATATACATTAGAGCAGAACACACAGTTCAGTTCGAACGTTCGTCGCGATCCTAAGTCGACTCATCACAACACAGCACGTGGTTGACAATCGCCGTCACTCGAATGAGAAGGGGGCGCTTTAAATGTCTCTGTCTCTCGGAGCGCCCGTGCTGGAGTCAAGGGTCAAGGTCAAGATGATGCCCGCGTCCCCGTCTCGCTCTCGGAGCGAGCGAGCGAGCGAGTCCAGCCATTCATCACGGAACGTCACCGTGGCCAATGAAAGCGATGCTTTGCGGACGTTGGGATTAGAGTAAGATCTCATTCCCGACGGGTGGAGAACATTGCCACAATTGTTATGGAATTTTTGCCCTCTTGGAAGCCGCACAAGTTACAAACGTATGCCGAGTGTGCAGCGGTAGATCGATCGTGTAACAAAGACTTGTGCATTATATTTACGAGTACAATAAATGTATATGTTTTCGTAAGATTATGTCCACTTTCCTAAGTTTAAATGCTCACGTAGTGCTGGTGCTAATAATATAATTAGATAATTTATTACAGCCCCTTGGGGCCGTCCATAAATGACGTCACACACCTAGGGGGGGTGGGGGTCAGACATTTGTGAAGATGTGTGACGACGGGGGGGGGGGGGGGGTTGAGAAGTGTGACGTCACATCAAAATACGCAACTTTAAATAAATATAGACAACACGTTCTACTTAATTAAATAGACTTTTTTTATTATTTTTTCTCTCCTACAACATCAGAGTGCAGCGCCACATTAAATACGCACTACAATGACAATAGTTTAAAACGATTGGAAGCATGTACAAAAAATTGTGGGGGGGGACAGAGCTTTGTGCCGTCATATTTGAGGGGGGGTCTGACTTTTTGTGACGCCGTGTGACGAAGGGGGGGGGGGGGGATAGAAATCGTCCAAAATCGCGTGACGTCATTTATGGACGGCCCCCTTGTCAATCCCGCCGATGGATGAATCCGTGTCCACAGTGTGCCGGTCATCGGGGCTGCTTCACCATACTTCACCATACTTCACCGTACTTCACCATACTTCACCATACTTCACCATACTTCACCGTACTTCACCATACTTCACCATACTTCACCATACTTCATCATACTTCACCATACTTCACCATACTTCACCACACTTCACCATACTTCACCGTACTTCACCACACTTCACCATACTTCACCGTACTTCACCGTACTTCACCATACTTCACCGTACTTCACCATACTTCACCGTACTTCACCACACTTCACCATACTTCACCGTACTTCACCATACTTCACCATACTTCACCGTACTTCACCATACTTCACCGTACTTCACCATACTTCACCATACTTCACCATACTTCATCATACTTCACCATACTTCACCATACTTCACCACACTTCACCATACTTCACCGTACTTCACCACACTTCACCATACTTCACCGTACTTCACCGTACTTCACCATACTTCACCGTACTTCACCATACTTCACCGTACTTCACCATACTTCACCATACTTCACCGTACTTCACCATACTTCACCGTACTTCACCATACTTCACCATACTTCACCACACTTCACCATACTTCACCACACTTCACCGTACTTCACCATACTTCACCACACTTCACCCTACTTCACCATACTTCACCGTACTTCACCACACTTCACCGTACTTCGCCATACTTCACCACACTTCACCATACTTCACCATACTTCTCCGTACTTCACCATACGTCACCATACTTCACCATACGTCACCATACTTCACCATACTTCACCATACGTCACCATACTTCACCATACGTCACCATACGTCACCATACTTCACCATACGTCACCATACTTCACCATACTTCACCATACGTCACCATACTTCACCATACGTCACCATACTTCACCATACGTCACCATACGTCACCATACTTCACCATACTTCACCACACTTCACCATACTTCACCGTACTTCACCGTATTTCACCACACTTCACCGTACTTCACCATACTTCACCATACTTCACCGTACTTCACCATACTTCACCATACTTCACCGTACTTCACCATACTTCACCGTACTTCACCATACTTCACCGTACTTCACCATACTTCACCGTACTTCACCGTACTTCACCATACTTCACCATACGTCACCATACTTCACCATACTTCACCATACGTCACCATACTTCACCATACTTCACCGGGCAGATCGGTGCAGGTTGGTGAACTTGGCGAGGCCCAGGATCGGATTGATATGTAAATTGCTACTGATGTTAGCCGTGGCCGAGACTCAAACTTAGGCGGCCAGATTCATAACACAGAGCGTCAACTACTCTCCCAGTACTCC